ATCGGTTAGTTGATAGGGCTTTTAAAATCAATAATAGTTGGAGGGGCTTTAGATGTGTATAAGAGACAGGTTAAGATGAGTCAGACCATATATAATATGCACAAATAATATGAAATATGCAATCAAAAGAAATAACATTATCGGTAAATATGTTGCTGTACATTACTCTGAGTGGGCCAAAATCTAACAACCATTAAAGAATATAAAGCATATAAGACTATCAATTTTACTCCATACCTAAAATCGCAGATAACTTATAGGATGCGCCACACTTTCTCCTTCAGTTGCACTTGGAAATATTTATACAGCAATTTTTGTTCAATGTTAAAATGTACACAATAATTAGAAATTTTACTATTTGGAGAGGTTTTTGGCTGTAATTCTGTTTTTCATGTGTTTGTGATCAATACAGAAAAGGACAATATGCCTTGTATTCCTCTTTTTGTTGCTGTTGCTGTGTTTCATTTTTGTAATTCCTGTATTGCCTAAGCAGAGTGATAACTGGAAATCAGAAAACTGAAAACTGGCTTGGATGGAGGGGGAGGAGGGTAATAAAGTTCTCGTGTATTTATCCAATGATGTTTTCAAGAAATAGGGCACAGTTACAATACTGCATGTATGCACAAATTCATAATAAACAGGTTTTTGGAAATTTGCTTGTTTACAAACTTTAGAGGAATTTGATGATGTCAGCATCACAAACGTACGGACGCACATGCATGGCCGATTGCAAAGTTCCTATGCCTTTACAGTGTAAGAATCAATAATGATTTTTTTTTAAAGAGAGGTATATTAAATGAAATATTTATATGATTGTAATTTAAAAAAATAAAAAACATGTATCTGATTATAAGTCCGAAATCCAAGTTAGTGATGAAATAGAAACAATATAAATATAGGGTTAACGGTCCATAGAGAAATTACATGTAATTTTTTGAGGAATTATTCAATTATAATATAAATGTGCATATTATACACATTTTGTTACAAAAACAACTTTCTACAACCAGTGGTTGCGAATACATATATATATAATATTCCATTAGATGAATCTATTGATTTGGCTGTGAATTATATTTTGGAAAATGATGACATTGACTTGAAAATAAGCAAATACAATCTAAAGAAATTATTTGTTTTTGCCACTTCTCAAACACATTTTTTATTTAACCAAGTTTATTATGACCAGATAGACGGCGTCGCTATGGGCTCCCCACTAGCACCTGTTCTCGCCAACTTATTCATGGGACACCATGAGAAAATTTGGCATGAACAATGTAAGGGTCCCAATGTGTTATTGTACCAACGTTATGTGGATGATATTTTTTGTGTTTTTAATGAAGAAAAGGATGCTCATTTATTTTTTGATTACCTTAACTCCCGCCATCCCAACATTAAATTCACCATGGAAAAAGAAGTAGGGAAAAAGCTTCCTTTCCTGGACGTCTTGGTGTCCAACATTAAGGATGGGCCACCTCAGACCTCAGTTTTTAAGAAAAAATCATATACCGGTTTACTTACTAATTTTTTCAGTTTTTGTTCGTTCAGTTACAAAATCGGTTAGTTGATAGGGCTTTTAAAATCAATAATAGTTGGAGGGGCTTTCATTATGATACCAAGGCATTAACTACCATCCTTAAGAGAAATTGTTTTCCTTCACACCTCATTGATCAAATTATTTTTCGTTATGTTAATTCAGTTCAATGTAAATGCAAAAGTACACTGGATAACACTAAGGAAAATACACCAATCACTTTTTATTTCAAATTACCTTATGTCGGCACATTTTCCAAAGTCCTTAGTAAGAAAATCCGTGCCTTATCTAATGAATTCTGTGATGAAATTTAAAAATTTGTTTTCAGCTAAAGATCCCATCCCAGTTGGTCTCCGTTCGCGTGTCGTTTACAAATTTGTATGTGCAGGCTGTAATGCTTGTTACGTTGGCGAAACAAGTCGACATTTCTCAACACGCATGCGTGAGCACCTAACACTGGATGGAAACTCGCATATATTAAAGCATCTGAAAAGTTCACGTCACTGTAAACAATCAGCCAATGAGGACTGTTTCACAATACTGGACTCCGCCTCTACTACCCAAACTCTAAAAATCAAAGAAGCCTTGCATATTCGGTGGGAGCAGCCCTCACTGAACAAACAGCTTTTTCATGTTAATTTATCTTTGTCATTCTAAATTCATTCCATTCTCCCCTTAGTGGCATTTAAAATACTGCACTCTGATCTTATCTTATCTTTATTTATATTTTGCTTTGTAGCACTGTTACGGTTCATTCCACAAATTTTTTAGCTTGCATACATTGAAATTTTACTCCCCTATATCAATGATTGCCTGCGTGCAATAGATAACTGACGATGGTAGTGGACTGCCGAAACATGTCTTATTGGGGCCGTTAAGGCCATAACTTATTGGATTAAATACCTGTCTCTTATACACATCTAGATGTGTATAAGAGACAGTTTTGAAATTGTTGAATTGTTGTAATAATACTTTCGACCATAAGTTATCATCAGGTATATATACATATATAACACATATACTGCAAAGATAAGTCAAAGGTCAATAAAACAGTTTCTGGTTGATGTTGAGAAATTATTCTGTTAGAGTATATCTAAATGTGCATATTGTGAATATTTGGTTACAAAAGCAACTCTTTACGACCAGTGGTTGCCAAGATATTAAAATCACGCAAAGTTGAGGTCAAAGGTCAAAAAAGCAATTTCCGGTCATTTTTAGAGAAAATTGTCCATTAAAGTAAATATAAATTTGCATGTTTTAAACATTTGCTACAAAAAGCAACTCTGTACGACCAGTGGCTGTCAAGATATAGCTCCCTATATTTCCACCCCTAATTTGCATATATTATGATAATAAGGTCAAAAAGCAGTACACCCAGTCATTTTTTAAGAAATTGTTCTATTAGGGCAAATATAAATATGTAGGTTCTGTTCAGTTTTAGAAAAAACTTAACTCTCTACGACAAGTGGTTGCCAAGACAACGGTACCCTACATTTTCAGACCTAATTTGCATATTTGAGGTGATTTGCATATGAAGATGAGCGTAAAAAAATGGCGACTCATTTTATATGATTTAGCATACTTCAAAGTATATAATTAAAAAAAAAAAAAAAATGGTCATGAAATTTCCACCGGATGACATAAGCCCCAGACTAATTGCACGGTGCCTTGGAAATGATATGACTTCAACCTAATACAATCTTTTGATTAGTTAAAAAGATGCGGGACTGTTCCATTTAGAAGAAGGATAGATTTTTTTCACAAAATATCAAATGACAAGAATCTACTTTAGGTGTATCATAAAAAAAAAATAATGATTTTTTTTTATTTGTGCAACAGAAAGAATATTTTCATGAGTTGAAAAATTCAATGTTGCATTCATCTCGGCTCCTGCCCACTGAATGGTACAACAGTCAATGTTTTAACTCATGAAAATATTCTTCCCATTGTGCTCATAAGTACAGTAGTCATTATTGTATACTATTTTTTAGCTAGTGGAGGAATACATATACATTTGACCCCATGAAACATACTTTCTAATTGATGCTGATGGTCGTTTCTTAGCTGTTGTAATGTTTCCCTCCTTTCGTTTACTTTTAGTTCTAGTCTGCATAGTTCGTCATTTATGTCTACTGTCTCCTCTACAGTTGTATACGTTCTCCTCGCAGTAGTCCTTTTTAGTGGTGCATTAAATTCCGCTTTCTTCTTTTTTGTTTTTTGTATGTGTATGAATCTCTGACAGCATGCATTGCTGGGAAGAACACTTCTTGATTGGTAACCATATATTTCTAAGTATATATCCTTCTGTATTATGTTTGTTACCTTTGAAGGGTTGGTAGCTTGCTTTTCTTTACAAATCTATAAGAAGAATAATGGAACAATATGATGTTGTAAAATAAAATACAATAGGTACAGCCAGAAACAAACCAGAACCCTGCGGGTGCGTACGTTCCTTTGTACGTAAAAAATCAATGTACATTTGTGAATTGCAATAAATTGATTGTATCTTTATGAATAATGATTGTGTAAGGTAATAGAGTATTTTCATTTTGAGTTAAAAAAATCAGAGGCGGATCCAGAAATTTATGAAAGGGGAGGGGGTAAGGGGTTCTAAGAAGTGCAGGGATGTCGTTATGCAGGGCGGAGGTGGGCGGCGCCGCCCACTCTTGACGTCTTGCGCCCATCCTAAAGCTATTTTTAAGGCCTTCTGCCCAGCCTTATACCAATTCTCCCGCCCCCCCCCCTCCCTTAAAATCATGAAGAAACACAAGTTTTTGCTCTATAAACTGTATTTTCCGGTGAATAAGCCGCAAATTTTCACGCGATTTTCCCCTCGAAGTTTGGGGTGCGGCCTATACACCAGTCGTTAACTTACTCCCAAAAAGTTCAGATCGCGAACCGCAGCGAAAATCAGGCACCGTCTGTCTAGCTTGGGCCATGCTCCTAGCCCAATTAATTAGCCTAGCCTTTGACAAAGGCTTTGTTGAAGGGCTAGTATTTGTAATTATACTCACTATACAGTGCTGTACTGTGATTCCTACTACATTTTCTACGACAATCAAGCAATGGTTTGGGTTGTTAAAATAATTATTTTCATAGTTACTTTCACTCAAACAATTTTGAAACACGTTTCATTCGAAATCGTTTCGCTCAAAACAATAAATAACCTTCTTTTCGGGAGTGTGGTCCTAGAGGTCACGTGAGCAGCTTCATTTATGATGTCGCAACAAAACACACTTGGGCCGTTGAAACTTTCTGTTCGACGCCTGGTTCCCGGTGGCTTGTACCGTTATAGAAAGAATACTGATACCGCTATATTTCAGAATAAAAGCTTGTGAAATTAATTTATGCAATAAAAACACAAGTTTTCTTGAAGTTGTAATAATTATTTTACTGGAAATTAATTGAAGAAAGGCATACGTTCGTCCGTCTATCACATGCCTCCATCACATGCTGTTGTGCAGGCCCGTAGCCGGGGGGGGGGTTATGGTTCGGGCGAACCCCCTTTTCTAGCGAACCCCCCTGTTTTCTAGCGAACCCCCTCGAATTTTTGAATGAGTCCCACCCGTTTTTAAATTGTAGCATGCAATACAAGCCTACGTTCATAGAATATCTCAGCTTCAGAAGTTCGGAGATTTAAATTAAAACGCAATTCCAGCAAACCATGACTTTACGATAGCACACATAAGGATGGCAAACATTGATAAAAACCCGTCTGCCGTCTCAACTTTCACTGGCCTTTGGCTGAATGTTTGTAAGAAATGTACCAACCGGTAACGAAACCGGTCGCCGTCTACCTAGAGTAAATGGTGCCACCAAACGAAGCTAAAGTTTTGCGACTTAATCCACCAAATGCAGCTAAAGTTTTGCGACTTAATCACCTGATTGTGGATTGTGCGGTTAGTAAATTCTATAATCCATAGCCATATTGTCATTTCATTTCATTATTTATTCGGTCATTTACAACAACAACAAAAAAGCTGAAATTTGGGGAGACCAGGGACAACCAGAGTGAACCAAATCACTGTAGCAAAGCCGGTTTACCCAACCCCAAATTCAGCAACACATTAAAAGATCAAACATTATAGCGAATCAAAATACAAAGAAACCTTACGAAGAAAAGAGGATGGGATTTCTAAAACTGCAGCATCGGTTAACAATCTAGGGAGCTGGTCCTTGGCACGAGGCAGTCTGATGGCTACCGAGTTGAAAAATGCTTGGGTCCTTGATGCTTGGTGACGGAAACACAAGCGATCATTATGTCTGGTATTGATTTTGATACCATCATAAACCGTGCTGCAGTTTA